CCTTGACGAGCGAATATCCTAGCGAACAAATTGAAAAATCAATCTAGAGATATTGGCTCAAAATAACAACTATAGCTGAGTAGTCTCCCGTAACCAGGGACCTCAGTACCTGCCGGCAGATGGGCTAACAAACAAAAAACTCCTCAGTATTGAATATAGGTAGTGTTGATTGAATGTAGTGTGTGGAATTAAAATTTTAGCACAAGCACAGTGGCGGTAGGTACCTAATTTAAACTTTTATCATTGACTTAAATTATTGAAACATTGACTAAAATTATTGATTATTGACTCACAATTAGTTATTAAAATGACTCAGTATGTTTTGATTTTTGAAAAATGTTAGATCGAGGGTTTCTATGCCGTACTCTTTCCCCTCGTTAGTTCCAGGTCGAAAACGGTACGATTTACTTTAATAATAAAGTAGATGTTTCACAAATTTTTCGTTTATTTTACATATCACAACTTCCCTTAAATTTCCCTAATTTTGCTAATGTCGAGCGCATGTCAAGTACGTAAAATTGAGTAAGTTTCCACAACGTAGGTCCTGTTTGTTTTTCATTTCGTTTTTCAGAAGACTTGTTAAAAGAAGAGATAATAAAAATTCACACCGTTCCATCTTGCTGGAGGAACCCGGGTATGTGTTACTACACTATATTTGGTTGAGGTGTCTCCAACATATTTGACACTAAAAATTGTAAAGATACTACCTATCCTACTGACTTAGATTTTGTGAATCATTCTACCCGTGAAGGTGATAGCTGCAGGTGAAATTTGAGGCACAATGTTTATCTGATAGTATTTGAAAAAATTTTAGAGCCAAATATGTTGGAGACGGCTCAATCAAATATAAAGAAACTATATATTTTTGTAATCGGAAAATTGTGCTCTTCAAGAATATAGAATCAAATATAGGGCAATCCATTTGGAAAAAGTTAAAAGTACGCAAACTTTCAAATTTCTGACAATAAATTTTTGTTCCTTACGATGGATTCTAAAAACGTATCTAAAACTGCATAACGTTTGTATTTTCACCTATCATCTACCTGTAAAGGTAAGGCTGCAGGTGGGGGATCAAAATATAGTGAATAATCCGGTACTTGCTATCTTATCAAAATGCTGCCACTTTGGAAAGAAGCAGACCAGAGCAGATTGTATTTTATTTATTTCTTTATTCGAGCTTCTAATCCCAATTCCAAATAGTAATATAACAGGATCTTTTCTTTTTGCTAGCCCGATGAACACCAATCATATAATCTTAGCATCTGTAGATTAGCGGGGTTCGCAAGATGAGATACCATCTGACAAAGATGGAATCCTGAGAATCATGAAAAAGTACCGTGCGACGCTATGGAGTGAAGCAGGAAACAGAAGAAAATTATTTAATTCGCTTACCTATAATTCAAAGCAAGGCTCGGAAGACTTTTTCAACACTACTATATTATAAGCGAACACTGATGGAAATAAACAATGGTAAGGCACCAGGGCTGGGACTCTGTAACTAATAGAGATATTTTCTCTATCTCTATTGACGTATCCTCTCTATTGCTTTCGACAAGAGAGAAGAAGACAGCAAGTGCCATAGCGATGGGGATAACGATCTCTTATATCCGTTACAGAGTTCCAGCCCAGAGGAGATGAGATAGTATTTGACCAGATAAAAGTCGTCGTGGAAAAACAGATCGAAGTTATCAGTGAAGTTTTCAGCTTGTGTTTATTTAATAGTAGAACTCCATCATCATGGAATTACGCAATAGTCACCATCTTGCATAGAGAGGGTGATATTGCCTATAAAAAAAGCGCTTTTCTCCTACCAGGCTACCATTTCATAAGAATTTATTTACAAAAATCATATCAACAATAACAAAGAATTGAACTGTTTCCGAAGAAATTACCAGGGTGGGGACCTTATCTAAATATGTAAAAAAACGTCGATAGAAAAATTCTTGTAACCTCGCAATTGTTTTTTTATCAATATGAAAAGGCATTTGGTATTATCAACCAATCAAAAATGTCAGACGCGTTAACTGAACGTAGAATTCACCATAGATATAGATATAGAATCTCATGAAAAAACATCTACGAGGAACGCCGCGTGTAAAACTGCATAAAACTACAGAAAAAAAAAACTATGTACAGCGCCGTACACGTGGTAGAAGTGAAACTTTTTCAAAACTATCCTTCCGTCATACAACTTTCAAACTTAGCGTATGAGTCGGTATGAAGACGAAGGGAAACGCGCATCTATAGTGATAGGCCTTTTCCGAAATGCTAATCCGATTAACCCGATCACCAGCTGTTTGTTTTTTATCTCTCTTGAACACGATTGAAAAAAGACAAAGTACGTCAGCTGGTGATCCGGTTGATCGGATCAGCGTTTCCGGAAAGGCCTAAATACTTTATAATCCTTGGTTTATGTCAATCGTTCCATGGTGGGCATACTCTTGGGAGACAAAGTCTCAAATAAATAAATAAATAAATAAATAAATAAATAAATAAATAAATAAATAAATAAATAGAAATGCCTTTATTTTCAAATTTTTCAAAATAGATTTACATACATTCATATATGCGTGGCGGTATCCAACTAAGTTGCTTCGATACAACCACCCCATCAACGAAATAGATAAATGTATCATTTTACAAAAAAATAGTCCAACATAAAATAGTATACTTCAAGGTTAATTCACAAATTATGTATCTAAAATCTCCTATTGCACATGTACTTCTTCGACCTCCTCACAAAGGCTGAAACAGTTGATAGATTTCTTAGTTCCTCTGGCAAACCATTGTAGATTTTAGCCGCATTGTAACTAAAATTTTTTTCAAAAGTAGCGGTACCTACGATGCTTAGGAACCACTAATCTTTGGTTATGTCTTGTATGCCTCATATGAACTTCGCAAGATTTAGTTAGTTTGTTGCGCAAGTATGATGGGAGTCTAAACAAGTTTATTTTAAATACTTGCCGCAATAAGTGTAGTTCGTGTCTTTCACCTAACTTCAATTAATTTGATATTTTATATTTCTCAGAGACATGGTCAAACCTCCTAAGATTGTATGCAAGTCGCATATAGGAATTCTGCAGCGTTTGCAAGCTATGTTTTTCTGTCTGACGAAATTAGAAGACAAACTCAAGTAACCGATGCTGTTGGGAGAACATCTTGTCTGAAGTGGAATTGGACCTGTTATGTGGATCGGTTGAGTGATTGGGGAAGGACTATATTGATTCTCGAGTGGGGAGGTCATGACAGGACGCCACACCAAGCAGGGAATGACTCACGAAAAAATGCCGAAGCAAGCTGGAGCGCTACAAAAATGTCTGGACGCACACTAAAATAACTTGGATAAAGTTTCGGGAAGCCTATGTTCGGCAGTCAACAATAAACTATAATGGCTGTTTGATGATGATGATGACGAATAATTTTTGCACAAATTATTTTCAACTTCAGAGTTTATTAGGTCGTAAGATACTGAATAGATTGGGTATAAGGTTGTACCTATCATTTATTACCTACGTACCTACTTTCGCTCCGAATAATTTAAAAAAAAAACACAAAATTAATATGTAGTGCATTCTCATAAATATGAACAAAGTCTATTTAAAAAAGCAAAATTTTTCATAAAAACGCCTGTTTAATGTTTTCTTATTTATAAATTTGGCTCTTTCTCAAGGTAACAAAATTTCTCGAAAAACACTTAATTTCAACGATTAGGTATATAAGTTGGCAGACTCAATGTTTGACGTATTTATACAGCAATGACCTAAGCAAAAATAACTTTAGACACGAGTATCGGTTTTTATAGAGCGTAAAGGATAAACTTTTGAAAAAAAGAGAAAAGTACAGGGACTTAAGAATCAATTAAGCCTAAAAAAAGGGAATTACTTTTCGATTATCGAGAATAATATTCTTGATGTGTGATTTTATCACGCAGAGTCGAAAATTTTTGTTTATTATTCTTGTAGTATTGACTTGTAGGAGGTTCCAATCAATTTTAATTTCTTCCTCAAATTATAAATTAATTAATTATCTAGCCCAGACATTAGTATCAAAAACATACATTCTAGGGGAAAATATCCAACAAGCAAGCGTTCTGTGCAGAGGTTTTCTTCAACGTTCTAAACAACATACTATTTGTAAATAATTTGTTCTCATCTCACAGCTTATTGGTTTCATCAAATTAAAATGAAGTCATGAAAGGAGCTCTTCCCGAAGGTGTTCCGATAGATAGCGGAAGAGGTAAAGAGATGCTGCTAAATCTCCGCAGTGAAGGTTACAGTCTTCGAAAAAATTTCGTAGCAGACCATGCCATCTTTGTCATGTCCATAAGACACGAACCGCCTGTAGATTCTGATATGAATATGAGGGGACAGCATCTCATTTACTATTCTTCTGCCCGGCAAGTCTTTGGAAAAAACGAAGGGGTTGATAATCTACCCCATGATAACCTGGCACAAAATCATTATCGACCTCATTAAGGGAAGAAAATCAGAATCTTCGAACCTGATGTTTATTGATCACAGATGCCTGCTGCAAAAATTCGAAAAAAACTGAATTTATGCTAACTTTCAGAGTAACAGAGCAGCTTAGATCTTACACAACTATAAAATCTAAGACATGGTGCGAGCCAGTATTTGTGATAATTAGAGCAAGCAGACCAGGTAGATCATGAACAACACGAGTATCAAATAATGAATACGACGGTTCCACTTTTCTAAGCATATAGAGACAAATGAAAGTACCGATGTAATTTGATTCCCGCGCCCTCACGCCAACGTCTAAAAAGTTTTAAAACATCTAATGGTTTCTATTTTGTTAACAGAGATCTTATTTTATAATAATCGGATAAATATATTATTTTTAACTATACTCCGTTGGCAATTTTTTTTCTATCAGAAAGTGAAAAACTATAATACTACCTATGTACCTAATCTATTTATATCTTAGTCAAATTGAGCTAGAATCACAAAGGCAAATTTAACACAAATATCCCAATTTCTTACCTTTTTAGTTTTGATCTAAATCACTTTATAATCGCATTTACACGAAGACACTTCATTACTAAACATCACTAAAAGAGGACGGAAAGCAGCGTATGGAGCGCGAGTGCAGTGTGCAAGTTCGGATTCGTTTGACACAACCTATATTGAAGGTCCGCGAGTCTTATTTTAGAAACCGAGTGTTCGTTCGTTCTAGTTTTTCGGGAATGAGCAAAAATATTCACAACCAACGGGAACACCAGTGACGGGGGACTAACGGGGAGCGTGGCTTATGTCATGGAAATTCTTCAACTCAATTATTATATATTGTTGACATATGAATACCTAGATACTAATAAGGCCATAAGCATTGGTCGAATGACTTTGAAAAATTTACATAAAATTCGGGGATTGGAAGGTCTAATTATTATTAGAAATTCTCTGAGCATGAAAATACTTCTTATACTTTGTAATATACAACCAAAATTGACGATATGTCGAAATTAGCGATTGAGAAAAACTTGGAGGCAGTTTATGATGTTCTACATCTTTGGTTTAAATTACCTATGTGTTCTGATCATTGAGTTTTTATCGAATGGTTTCCTAAGAAAATTGAAAAAGCTTTACATCAGTAGATTTGTCCCTATTTAGTCCTACCACTCCTACTTTCAGCTTGTTTAGACCTTATTCATAAATTTTTAAATCAAATGCAAATGTTTCGATGCATTCAGCATTCTTGTCAAGGCTAAGAAATAACAATTATTAACCTCTTGGGTTTTTACTAAAGTAAAGTTTAAGTTAATACACACATTGCTAAAATGACAAATAATTATTTTTTAAATGAAAAACACGTATTATTCGAAAATATAATGTTATATCTTACCTAGATTCACAGATTGAAAGTCGCATTTATTTATATACGATTTTTTTTTTGTCAAAAAAATATGTACGTACCAGTAGTACTGCCGCTTGCCTTGATGTTTTTGTACTGGTTCTATTATCAATAGTTTGCATTGGTATATGAAGAATAATTATTATTGGTGTTAGTCCATATTAAATTGCTGGTAAAAAAAATATATACTGAACAAATGACTCGAGAAATTAGAGACAAATTACTATTTTATTAGATAGGTATTTATAATATACATAGTACACGTAAATAGAAGCTAGAGCTCAAGGAACAACTGACAGGGAAGACAATGAGAAAATAGTTATAAAAAATATTGGGAAAAAACGGCCTACTACGGTTTTTATATGTATAATATAATGAGAATAAACTAGTTTATTAATACATCCAAATAGCATTCTAATTTTAAATATAGATAAATAAACAATTTGGCCCTGAAGTAAAAGTAATTACCTACTTTTTAGGGCAAAAAGTAAAACTGCATGTAAAAAAAAGCTGGGAGCCTCGGCCTAAATAACATGTATGAAAGCAACACAGCAAGATATCCCCAAGTATATGAATGTGCCTTATCGCTGCTTCCGTTGGATGAAGTTGAGGATGCAACTTTCTAACTACATACGTGAAAAAAGAAGTAGAAAAGCTATGTTTGTACTCTGACGAGAAAATGTGCGGCAAAAACTAAAAAGATTGAAACTGTTGGAACGGTATGTGGAGAATGCGAGACATTCGAGAGACGAAAACGTTATCCCGATTTTCGATCCGCAAGACACCGACCAGTGCATTGAAAAGTGGATGACTAGAGTTTACAATCTTTCAAGTTATTATGGATGGAGGAGTGTAACGAATGATAAATCTTCTCTATTGGTCAGCGCTCAAAAGACAAAATCTATAGGACTACCTAAGCGGTAGAGCGGAAGATGAAAAAGAAGCCCTATATTAAGAGGTCCTCGGGGTAGCCAACTTTACCACATACGGAGGGAATGCCTGTGAGGTTTTTGTGGTTCTTCAATGACGTCATTATTATTGCTTTTGCTTTGCGCTGCATTTCATAGAGCCAACGAATGCCTGGGAGCATTTCTCCAGATGTGGGAACAATATTCCATACATGGTCAGATTGGTGACATAAAGTTGATGAAGTTGTTCAGAAGTAAAGTTCACGAAACAAAAAAAAACTAATTTTTGAGAAGCGGTTTTGGCATTAGAACTATTCGAAGATACATGGTTATCTCAAGACAAGTTGGTCGATAGAAAGGTTTTGTCCCGAAATCCTTAAAACTGGGTTATCATCGGTAGAAGATTTTTTATTTGAGTGTTGGAAGCAGTGGTTAAGCCCCAAGTTGGTTATGGCGTCAAAATAACTGTTGATAAGGTGAATCTGTTCCCGGGTATGCGGAAGTGGCTGCAGTCACCGATTTGTTAGAAGCGAAAGATGCTATCAAGCTACTATCGTCCGCAAAGCTGTATATGGGGTATCTTGTCACATTTAAAATATCATTTATAACAGTGATACAGTGTTGGGGAAAGAATTGAGCCATGAGGAACGCCGACATTTATAGGCAGTGTATCAGAAGACACAGCATCGATCACAACATGCAGTGACCTTCCTAGTCAATAGTAAAATTCGTTTGGAAGATCATACCATGGAAGTTTGCTGAGGAGACTTTTGTGCCGCACCTGATGAAAAGCCTTGGAGACGTCCAATGCTACATTTCTAGATTCGTCATGTTTTTCGAGAGTCGATTTCCAAGTATGACCGACGTACGCCAGCAGATCCCCTGTTGTTTCAGGTTGGGTGCTTTTTCCATTATTTTCGAAAGTATATAATAATAAGTGAGATGCGACGATAATTGCCAGGCAGAGTTTTCTTTTTTGGGATGGGCTACACTCTGGCAAATTTCCAGATAGACGAGAAAACGCCTCGTCTGTGAGAGAATTTGCAAAGAACTGGAGCTAATTATTTTGCGCAAGTTTTGAGGACAATTGGCGGAATTGCGTTGATATCCAGTGTCAAGTTGCAGAAGAATTTTCCTAATAGTTTTAGTTCTAAATGCAACGGTGTCCATGTAAGAACGGCCGATTTGGCCGAGTATCGTAAAATTGTCACCCTTTTCCTTATTTCGGAACAGGTGAATTTTCTGGCCGAATTCAAGGATCCCGGTAAGAACCAATTTGTGGCAGTACCTGTGGCGCACTGTCATTGTCCACTATTGTCTATGTTAAAACACGATATAGCACTAATATAATCAACTTTAACTTCAAGACAAATGTGAATTTAGAATCATTATTTTTTTAAATGAAAATTTCAAACAAAGATTATGCTTTTGGGGTATTTTATAAGCCTCCTACATTGAATTTCAGTAGTATAATTCCAGATTTCGATAATATATTTTCCAGTCTTTACCCAAGTGTTGATGAAATTTTTTGTTTGGGTGATTTCAACATAAATTTGCTAAATCTGGGTAACCCACTCACTAACCTTTTTCAAAATTATAACTTTACTCAAATAATACAGGAGCCGACTAGAGTATCAAAAACCTCTGCTAACTTGCTTGATGCAATTTTTGTTACAAATCTCTCTGTAGTGCTGGAAAGTGGAGTTATTCCAGTGGATATTATTTCTGATCACAAGATTGTTTATTGTGATATGAATTTAACAAAAGTAGGTACCTAACAAGTCAAAAATTATTAAATATAGGTGTTTTACTAATTTTAATTATGCGTATTTTATTAGCGATATGCAACAGTTACCATGGAACGATATATTGTATGAAGATAATATAGACAACAAAATCAATAGGTATTTTCAATACCCTGATTATAACTTTAGGTATTTGATAAACATGCCCCCTTAAAGGAAGCCCGTGTTACGAAACCGAAGGCACCGTGGCTAATACCTAATGTCCAGATTTTTATGAAGCAAAGAGATGATGCTCTGAGGAAGTTTAAGAGATCCAGACTAGATAGGCATTGGACCCAATACAAAATGTTAGGAAATTTTACTTTAGCAGCGATAAGAAGGGAAAAAAAGAAATGCTTAGAACGGAATATTACAATAACAACTCTATAGACATAATCTCAAGTTTTCTTTCAGATTAGCCACAATAAAAGAGGTGCACACAATTTTAAATGGTATCAAAACTAATGCAATGGGAGTTGACCAAATAACTTCGCGCATGCTGGAATATTGTAGTCCTTATATTGACATATACCTAACGCATATTATAAAAAAAATATTTTCCAGATTTATGGAAAGTATTGATTGGAAGGTCATTACCCAAAATATCCAACCCGTCAACTTTTAATGATTTAAGGATAATAAGCATCCTACCAGCAGTATCAAAAATTTTTGAAAAAATTCTCTATAATCAAATGTATGACTACTTTAATATCAATGGCGTGATACCTCCAGTTTAATGCAGGTTTAGAAAAAGTTTCAGTGTGGCTTTGGCCAATGTCACGGATGACATAATTCGAGCATGTGATAAAAAAATGACTACGATTCTTGTTCTCTTGGACTTCTCCAAAGCATTTCACACGATCAATCATACATTGCTTGTATCTAAACTTAAATATTACGGTTTCGATATGAAATCGTGTCAAATTATTGAATCTTATTTATGTAATCGATACCAAATCATTTCTTATAATGATATTTATTCAGAACATGCTGCGGTTTTATCAGGGGTACCACAGGGATCGGTCTTGGGACCTTTACTATTTTTAGTCTCCACGTCGGATATTCTTAAATCTCTGAAATATTGTAATGTTCAAGCATTCGCTGACGATACACAGATATACTGTAGTTTTGAATACGAAAATATTAGGGAGGCTGAAGCTAGCATCAATAACGACCTAAAAATACTTAGTGAACTTTCTAAAGGCCATAATTTACAACTGAATTCTACTTGCAAGATGATCTCTGGCAACCAGATTACAGTTGATAAAGTTAAAACAATATTAACATACGCACATTAACAATACGAAACTGTGTATTGTTGAATGCGCAAAAAATTTGGGAGTACTACTCGACTCAAAGTTAAGATTCAAGGAACAACAAAAATTAATACAGAAATTATATGTTTCTCCTAAACTTTTATATAATAATAGACATGTCTTTAATGAAAAATTGAGAAAAAATCTGTGTGAGACCTTGGTGCTGTCTAATTTTAATTACTGCGATTACATCTATGGATTTTGTTTGGACTCTGAGAGTAAAATGCGTATTCAGAAAGTCCAGAACTCTTATCTTCGTTTGGTGTACGGTATGAATTTATTCATTCCGTAAATGTATATGGCACCCAGCACAATCCCATTGGTCAGATTT